CCTCCCCCTCCTCCTCCTCCTCCTCCTCCTCCTCCTCCTCCTCCTCCTCCTCCTCCTCCTCCTCCCCCTCCCGCGCGCCTCGGCGTCCTGCCCCCGTGCGTTTTCTGCCGCCCGCGCCCTCCCCCCTGGAGGAGCAGGCGCGGCTGCAGGCCGCTGCCGCAGGCTCTCGGAGAAGGGGGCAGCCGCGCAAACACGCATTCTCGGAGGCGAGGGATCGTCTTCCAAACTCGAAGCATCGGGCGTGGACTCAGGTCGGGCCTGTCCCTCCACAGGAGGAACATCCAAGAATAGTCAAAAGATAATCTGGGTTACTATTTTTGAGCATCTTTCCTATTTTTGGGCGTTTTTGGAGTACCTTCTATTTTTCCTCCAAAGCCTGCCTGTAGGGGGACGTGCCCGACCTAAGCGTGGACAGACCTCCTACCCTGACATGTCGATTAGCGAACGGGCAGTTCTCGGTTCGCGAGAGGGCGTCGCGGCCGTCGTTTTCGCGGGTCCAGGTCCGTCGGTTTTGGTCCCAGGCCGTTTTCATTAATGGGTGGTTTACTGAAGGGAGGTTTGTCCACTGCCGAAAGAAGAAAAGGCGCCACCGTTGGCCCAGAATCGGCCCACACGGAACGGTCTTGCGATCAAAAGCCGCCGACCGTTGAAGGTTGAACGATCCACGCAGTGTCAGTCGAAGAAGAAAAAACGGCACAAACAGAAATTCTTGGCGCTCCGCGCGGATTTCTTGGATCCGCGCTGGGCCCCCCTGGCGGCGCCTCCGGCGCCGCCCCTGGCGCGCTCCGCGCGCGCCAGGGAGGGGGTCCAGCGCAGATCCGAGAAATCCGCGCGGAGCGCCAAACGTTTCTGTTTATGCCGCTTTTTCTTCTTCTATTAATCATGTTTTTTCCGATCGGCGCGGGCCCTCGCCCCCCCCCCTCCCATGGAGTAGATCTTGGCTTTTTTTGGCGCCTGTTTCAAGGAGGTAGAGTCTCTCCCGTAGGACCCACTGTTGCAAACAGTCGCATAAAGCAGAGGTCTGGAGCCAGACCCCCCACCCTCCCCCCCCCTTCCGCCCAATGTCGAAACGCCGAATACGACACCGCTCACGAGCTCCGCGCTGTGTCTTGGATCTGTGCTGGCCCCCTCTGGCGGCGCCTCCGGCGGCGCCGCTGCTGTCACGCTCCGCGCGCCAGGAGGGGAGTCCAGTGCCGATCTAAGAAATCCGCGCGGAGCTCCGAAATTTGATGCCTGTTCGGCGACGACGAAGGGTGTGGTTACGCTAGGGTGTGGCTTGCGATCTACGCCGTTGGGGCTGGGGGGCACCACGGTGCCCTCGTCGGGCCGCCTCGGGGCGCTGCGGGGAACTCTGTCGGGCTCCTCGCCCGCCTCCCAGGGCTCGACTTGGGGATCGACTACAGAATTGACTCACCGCAAAATTAATTTGTTCGACGAGTCCACGAACAAGAAGTATAAGGTCCAGTGGATCTTCGCATAAGTTTGGCGTATTTCTACAGGCTCGACTCGACGAGCACATCAGTGCTTGGGCCAATCAATTCTGCAGTCGATCCCCTGCTCGAAGGGTGCGCTCTGCAAGCCACACCCCTTGGAAGCCACACTCCTCGGAGTCGCCGACGTTGCAGTCTTCTCCTCCTCCAGGCTCCCTGGAGGAGGAGCTCGTCGCCCTGCCGGCTGAGGATGCCAGGGAGCTGCTGCGGCGCTTCTGCGAGAAGATGGTCGGGCTGCGGCAGAGGCCACCGGGCCGCCCCCCCCCGCAGGGGGCCAGGGGCGCCCCGAGACAGCTCCAGAGCACCGCAGAGCAGGCCCAAGACGAGCCCCGGAGCGGGAGAAGGGGGCCGCCAGAGGCCTCCAACTCACCCCAGAGTCCTGAGAGGCCCCCCAAAAAGCTCCGGCGAGGCCCCCAAGACAGCCCAAGAGAGCTTCGAGAGCCGTCCCGAGAGAGCCCGAAGAGGGTAAGATCGTTGATTTTCCTTGGTTTTTGTTGACTTTTTTTGTCTTCTCACGTTTTCCAGCTTCCAACGCTTCAAGACCGAGGAACTTGAAAAAAACGGGGGGATTTCAGAGATTCTTAGGCTTACGCCACACCGCCGACCCCTTGTTTATGCCAATCTGGGTTATGGGTTATGGGTTATGGGTTATGGGTTAGAAAACGGCTCTGGGTTATGGGTTCTGGGTTATGGGTTAGAGGCGTCTTGTATGTGTAGCGGGATCTCGCGGCACGCCTCTCGGGGGCCTATGGCAGGCAGTTTGGAACCACTTGGGGGCCCAGGTGGAGGAAAAGGTGGAGGAGGAGAAGGGGAACACGGAGAAACGGCTCTGGGTTATGGGTTATGGGTGAGAGGCTTCTTGTATGTGTATCGGGATCTCGCGGATCGCTTCTCGGGGGCCTCTGGAAGCGAGTTTTGGAGCCACTTGGGGGCCGTTTCGGAGCCTCTGGGGTGCTTCTTGGGGGTTCCTTGGGGCGTCTGGGCGGCCTCGTGAGGGCCTCTGGGGGCCTCTTGGGGCACTCTTGGGGCACCCTGGGGCTCCTGGGGGCAGAAAGCTAGAGTTTCAACATGTTTGGTCGCCCTCTTGGGCCCCTCTTGGTGCCGTCTTGGAGCCCTCTTGGGCCGTCTTGGGGACCTCTTGGGCCGTGTTGGGGCCGTCTTGGGCCGTCTGGAGGCCGTCTTGGGGGCCTCTTTCAAAAACGAGCTGGGGCACCAAACTCCCCCCCCCCCTCGGGGCCAGAATCCTCGTGAGGGTCGGATTTTTTTGTTACCCTCCCAGACGTCGAAAAAGACCCCCCTGACGACCCGCGGAACTCCCTGTCCAGGTCCAGGGGGAGGGGGTAGGGGGAGGGGTAAACCCCTCCCCGAAGGGGAAGAAGGGGGGTTGAGGACAGAGAGAGCTCCTTAAACCCCTCACACCCAAAGGGCTGGTGGGATTTCAAGAAGGAATACAGCCGTGGCGACGAGAAGGGCCGGAAACGTTCAGCAACTTCTGTGCCAGTTCGCCGCCCCGTTCATCGCCCCCCGTCAAACTCCTGCCAGCATGCCCGTGCTGCCGTGCCGCCCCAGTCGCACCCTCCTCTCCGCAGGGGGCTGGGGGCCGTCTGGGCGCGCGGCCGTCGGCCCTCGGCTGCGGGGGTCGCGTGGCCCGAAGTCCGCTTCTGTGGCGCCCGTGGCCGCCTCCTCTTCCTCCTCTGCTCCCTTCTTTTTTTATCCAGCTGCCTGCGGCAAGTCCCGCCACCGCGCCCGCCCAGCTGTCTCGGTGGTTTTTGCGCGAGGGATCACGGATGTCCTAACTTGTTACGCGTCGTATCTCCAGGCTTGATGATGTTGGCGATGGTGATGGTGATGGTGATGGTGTGGATGAGGCGGAGGGATGAAGAGGAGGAGAAGGAGGAGGACGAGGACGAGGACGAGGAGAGCCGCCACATGTGACACTTTCTCGTCTTGGGCCGTCTTGGGCCTCTTGGGGAAAAAACGTCGAAGAACACTATGGAAAATCAACAATTTTAGACTCATGGGGCCCTCTTGGGAGGCTTGTTTGGGACCTCGGGGGCCGTTTTGGAGACCTCTTGGCCCGTTTTGGGGCCATCTTGGGCCCTCTTGGGCCGTCTTGGGGACCTCTTGGGCCGTCTTGGGGCCGTCTTGGGCCGTCTGGAGGCCGTCTTGGGGGCCTCTTGGGCCATTTTGGGGCTATCTTTGGAGCCTTTTTTGCCCGTCTTGGAGCGTCGGAAAGCCGGAAAGGCGGAGAAGCAAAAAACGTAGAAAAACACTCTGGAAAATCAACAATTTTAGACTCTTTGGGCCCTCTTGGGAGGCTTGTTTGGGACCTCGGGGGCCGTCTTGGAGACCTCTTGGCCCGTCTTGGGGCCATCTTGGGCGTCTTGGAGCGGTCGTTTGGTGTCTCGGGGCCTGCGTGGGCCGTCTTGGAGGCCTCTTGGGGGCTTCTTGGCCCGTCTTGAGGCCCTCTTGGGCTCGGAAAAGCCTCGTGAACCGCTCGTCCCGGCCGTGCTGCGCTCGTCCCGGGCCCTCCCGCTCCCCTCCAAATCGGCTCTCTTGGGCCGTCTTGGGGACCTCTTGGGCCGTTTTGGGGCCGTCCTGGGCTGTCTGGAGGCCGTCTTGGGAGCCTCTTGGGCCATCTTGGGGCTATCTTTGGGGCCTCGTCGCCCGTCTTGGAGCGTCGGGAAGCCGGAAAGGCGGAAAAACAAAAAGCATCGAAAAACACTATGGAACATCAACAATTTTAGACTCTTGGGGCGTTCTTGGGAGGCTTGTTTGGGACCTCGGGGGCCGTCTTGGAGACCTCTTGGCCCGTCTTGGGGCCATCTTGGGCGTCTTGGAGGGGTCGTTTGGCGTCTCGAAGCCTTCGTGGGCCGTCTTGGAGGCCTCTTGGGTGCTTCTTGGCCCGTCTTGAGGCCTTCTTCGACCCGGAAAAGCTCTGGAACCGCTCGTCCCGGCCGTGCTGCGCTCGTCCCGGCTCCCTCCCCCCCTCCAAGTCGGCCCTCTTGGGCCGTCTTGGGGACCTCTTGGGCCGTCTTGGGGCCGTCTTGGGCCGTCTGGAGGCCGTCTTGGGGGCCTCTTGGGCCATTTTGGGGCTATCTTTGGAGCCTTTTTTGCCCGTCTTGGAGCGTCGGAAAGCCGGAAAGGCGGAGAAGCAAAAAACGTAGAAAAACACTCTGGAAAATCAACAATTTTAGATTCTTTGGGCCCTCTTGGGAGGCTTGTTTGGGACCTCGGGGGCCGTCTTGGAGACCTCTTGGCCCGTCTTGGGGCCATCGTGGGCGTCTTGGAGCGGTCGTTTGGCGTCTCGGAGCCTTCGTGGGCCGTCTTGGAGGCCTCTTGGGGGCTTCTTGGCCCGTCTTGCGGCCCTCTTGGGCCCGGAAAAGCCCTGGAACCGCTCGTCCCGGCCGTGCTGCGCTCGTCCCGGCCCCCTCCCCCCCTCCAAATCGGCCCTCTTGGGCCGTCTTGGGGACCTCTTGGGCCGTCTTGGGGCCGTCTTGGGCCGTCTGGAGGCCGTCTTGGGGGCCTCTTGGGCCATCTTGGGGCTATCTTTGGGGCCTCTTTGGCCGTCTTGGAGCGTCGGGAAGCCGGAAAGGCGGGAAAGCAAGAAACGTCGAAAAACACTCGGGAAAATCAACAATTTTAGACTCTTTGGGCCCTCTTGGGAGGCTTGTTTGGGACCTCGGAGGCCGTCTTGGAGACCTCTTGGCCCGTCTTGGGGCCATCGTGGGCGTCTTGGACCGGTCGTTTGGCGTCTCGGAGCCTTCGTGGGCCGTCTTGGAGGCCTCTTGGGGGCTTCTTGGCCCGTCTTGAGGCCCTCTTGGGCCCGGAAAAGCCCCGTGAGTCGCTCGTCCCGGACCCCCCCCGCTCGCGCCGGACCCCCCCCCCCCTCCAAATCGACCGGACCGGGCTCCCGGGGGAGGGGTTTGGGGAGGGGGAAGCATCTCACACGCCGATGATCCCCAAGGGGTCGGCGGATTCCATTTTTCTTTCAAGTTCAACAAATGCGCGCCCCCTCCTCCTGGGGGTCCCACACCTTCCCGGAACATCTGCGGAACGCTCCCGGTACCGCACTTCCCGACCTGGGAAGCCCGCCAAACGCCCAAGGACAGCCGAAGATGACCCCAAGAAGCCCGCAGAGCGTCAAAGAAAGGCCCAATACGCTCCCAAGCAACCCAGGATAGCTTTCGGGCGGCTCTCCAGGCTCCCAGGAGGCCTCCAAAAGTTGACCTCCAGAGAGCTCCGAGAGGCCTCCCGAGAGCGCTCAGAGAACCTCGAATAGTACTCCAGATTTCGTAATAAAAGGGAGGGGGTCTGGACCCTCCAAGACAAGCCATTTCAGACCCCCCCCGTGGGAGAACCCTCCAAAACATCGTCCCCAGACCCCCCCAGGCCCTCCAAGATAGTCTGGAAGAGATCCCCCCCCGAAATGAGACCCCCCTCCCTTTATTACGAAATCTGGAGTAATTTTCCATTGTTTTTTTCAAGGTTTTTGGCCTTCTCACCATTTTATGCTTCCAACGTTCCAAGACGGCCGACGAGGCCCCCGAGACCGCCCCGAGACCGCCCAAGAGGCCCCCAAGACGGCCCCAAGACGGGTCATGACGGCCCCAAGACTGCCGAAGAGGCGCCCAGGACAGCTCCAGAGCACCCCAGAACAGGCCCAAGATGAGCCCAAGAGCGGGAGCAGGAGGCCTCCAGAGACCTGAGAGGACTCCGGGACCCCCTAGAGGCCTCCAACACACCCCAGACCCCTGAGATGCCCCCAAAAAGCTGCGACGAGGCCCCCCAATCAGCTTAAGAGAGCTTCGAGAGCCGTCCCGAGAGAGCCCGAAGAGGGTAAGATCGTTGATTTTCATTGTTTTTTGTTGACTTTTTTCTCTTCTCACGTTTTCCAGCTTCCAACGCTCCAAGACCGAGGAATTTGACAAACAGAAAGGAATTCCGGAGATTCCCTTTTTTTCAAGTTGGGACTCCTACTCCCTATCCTCTTCCTCGAGCCCCATCGGGAATGCTGTTGAACTCTCTGACGCTGTCTAACCACTGTAGGAATTGATGTCCCATGATCCCATGAGTTGAAGCAGTGGAATTTTATAATTCCTTTTTTCAAACTCCCCCCTGCTTATTTTGTGCATGAAGACCCCGAGAGACATCCCAACTGACCGTGGCCTGCATGCAGAAAACGTCTAACCCACGGCCCAGGCCCTACAACTTGAAACAAATAAAGAAATCCTACCATTTTTTCTTCTTCCAAGTTCGCCCCCTGCCTACTCTTGCACAACAGATCACACTTGAGGCCCCAGAAAAGAACCGAAGAAGCTTTCGAGGGCCCCAAGTCGTTGAAGACCTAACGGCACTTAATGATTTTTGCGTTTACGCAGTGCCCCTTCTATGCTATTCCGAGGCTTGCGCAGGGCCTCCAAGAGAGTCCCTGGATGCAAGAAACGACAAGGATGATATTCCATGTGTTCGCCCATCAAGCCTAGCTAGAACATGAACGCGCGCGAAGCTCGCGCGATGGTCCTGGTGTATATATATATGTATATATACCAACTGCTCCTGGGCAGGCCCATCCTGGGCTGAGGAGCGATGTATATGACTCCCCGGCCAAGCCAGGCGGCATATACACTGCTCCTGGGCCCAGGATGGGCCTGGCCAGGAGCAGTGGACATGTGTAGATCTCGTCGGCCTATCTCTGGCTGACACGGCTGAGCGCTGACCCAGGTCAGCGCGTCCCCGAGCCCCCCCCCCGCAGGGAGAAGGACACCTCCACGCGCCTCGCCGTGGTCATGGCGCAGCTCAAGGATCGGACGACGCCAACTCAGACGGCTGGCGCGTCGAACAAATCAGGACGTTTTGTTACAATGGTTGTTGCTGCTGTTGTTGCTGTTGCTGTTATTGTTGCTGTTGCTGTTGCGGTTGCGTTTGTCGTTGCTGCTATTGCTGCTGTTGTTGTTGTTGTGGTTGTTGTTGTTGTTGTTGTTGTTGTTGTTATTGTTGTTGTTGTTGTGGTTGTTGTTGTTGTTGTTGTTGTTGTTGTTGTTGTCGTTGTTGCTGTTGTTGTTGTTGCAATCGTTGTCGTTGTTGTTGCCAATGCTGTTGTTGCTGTTGTTGTCATTATTGATGCTGTTGTTGTTGGTGTTGTGGTTGTTGGTTGTTGGTTGTTGGTTGTTGCTGTTGCTCTTGTTGGTTGTTGCTGTTGTTGTTGTTGTTGGTGTTGGTGTTGTGGTTGTTGGTTGTTGGTTGTTGGTTGTTGTTGTTGTTGTTGTTGCTGCTGTTCTTTGTTGGTTGTTGGTATTGCTGTTGCGGTTGGTTGGTTGGTTGGTTGGTTGGTCGGTTGTTGTTGTTGTTGCTGCTGCTGCTGCTGTTGTTGTTGTTGAATATTATTACTTCTAAAGAAATATTATTGTTGAGACCCCTGGTGCGCGACCCCCCTCCAAAACCTAGGCCGCAGCCTCATTTCCTTCATTTTCTAGCGAAAGCTTCAGAAAAGTGGATTGTGTCCGGATCCGGTTGTTTTGTTGTAATCCGTTTTCCCTTGCAAAAAACACTATAAAATGAAAATTCTTGTTCTTACTTGATCAAATTGCAAGAATCCCTTGCAAAAAATAAGGTAAAGTGGACATTCGTGCGCGCAAGACGAAATCCTTCCAAAACCTTAGGTTTCGTAACGATTTTAACATAAAAACATCAAAAACCCAATGGTTTTCTCAGAAAAATTGTCAAAATGTCCTTCCGCGCGCTCTTGCGGATTCCTAGGAAACCCACCAGATTTTAAACATTTCTGTTAAAAGGGCCTTTGCGAGGAACCTTTTCAGGTGCTTCGACCTTCTGCAACAACGGTTGCGAGCCTACGAGGGCCACCATCCCTTGCAAAAAATGACACGAAGTGCACATGCGCGCGGCCGCCGCGCGCGCGTGCCGAAATCCTGCCAAACATAATGTGATTTCAATAATTTCAAGATGCGATGTTCCGAAAACATATGCAAACGCAAGACTTTCTCATCCGAAAAATATCAAAATCCACCCACTGGCTCTGTCTTGCTCTCTCTCTCTCTCTCTCTCTGTCTCTCTGTACTATGTATGTCATACGCAACAAATGCACCATGCGGGGCACATGCGGGGCCCAACAAGTGATCAACCTCTGCGGGTGTGTACTCCACGCCAGTGTAGTATCCACGATCGTCCGCGCGCCACGAAGTGAAGTGTCCTGACGTCATAGGGCGGGAAGCTGGGTGTGGGTGGTTCCCGAGAGTCGTGTGGATGTTTGGTAGAGCTTGCATTGCCCCCCCACGAAGTGGGGGTATTGGCTGGCGTCGCATGAAAACCCTGGCACTGGGGAGAACACTGAGCGTTCGGGTAAAATGATTGTTGTTGTTGTTGTTGTTGTTGTTGTGGGTGTTGTTGTTGTTGTTGCCGTCGTCGTCGTCGTCGTCGTCGTCGTCGTCGTCGTCGTCGTCGTTGCTGCTGCTGCTGCTGCTGCTGCTGCTGTTGTTGAACATTATTAATTCTAAAGAATAATTATTGTTGGGACCCCTGGTGCACGGCCCCCCTGCGCCGCCTAGGCCGCAGCTACATTTTCATCATTTTCGTGAGGAAGCCTCAGGTAATACGATGTCATCAAGATCCGGTTGTTTTGTTGTAATCCGTTTTCCCTTGCAAAAAACACTATAAAATGACATTTCTTGTTCTAATATAATCAAATTTCAAGAATCCCTTGCAAAAAATAAGGTAAAGTGGACATTCGCGCGCGCAAGACGAAATCCTTCCAAAAGCTTAGTGTTCGGAGCGATTTTAACATAAAAACATCAAAAAACCAATGGTTTTTCAACAAAAAAATGTCAAAATCTCATCCCGCGCGCTCTTGCGGATTCGTAGGAAACCCAACACTTTTTAAACATTTCTGTCAAACGGGCTTTTGCGAGCAACTTTTTCGAACTTCTGCGACAACGGTTGCGCACCTGCCAGGGCCATCATCCCTGTCAAATAATACCATGCGGGACACATTCGTTTTTTCTTCGCGCGCGCACGCCGTCGTCGTCGGCCGCGGGGCCCTGAATAGTAGCCACGGTCGTCCGCATGCCACGAAGTGAAGTGTCCGAACGTCATAGGGCGGGAAGCTGGGTGTGGGTGGTGGCGAAGAGTCGTTTGGAAATTTGGTAGAGCTTGAACCGGCCCCCCCACAAAGTGGGGGTATTGCCCGCCTCCTATGAAAACCCTGGCACTGGTGAGAACGGAGTGTCCCCAGTCTAAATGATTGTTGTTGTTGTTGTTGTTGTTGTTGTTGTTGTTGTTGTTGTTGTTGTTGTTGTTGTTGTTGTTGTTGTTGTTGTTGTTGTTGTTGTTGTTGTTGTTGTTGTTGTTGTTGTTCGCGAGGACACTACTGGAGGCCCGTTGCTCGACCCCCCCCGAGCAACGCCACGGGGCCACGCACGGGCCCCGCAGGGCCCCAGGTCCGAGCAACGCCACGAGGCCTCGCCAGACCGCTGCGGGGGTCTGCAGGGCCCGGCGGCGTTGCTCGGAATGTCCTTTCAGGGCTGCTGTGGAGTCCCATACAGGCCCCAAAAGGCGCACCCCTCTCACGGATCGTGGCCCTGGCCCCACGGGGAGCTCCACCGAGGCTTGAGTTCGGCACACCCCTCTCGAGGATCGTGGCTCAGGGAGCTCCACCGAGGCTTGATTTCGGCGCACCCCTCTCGAGGATCGTGGCTCTGGCCCCACAGGGAGCTCTACCGAGGTTTCATTTCGGCACATCCCTCTCACGGATCGTGGCCCTGGCCCCACAGGGAGCTCCACCGAGGCTTCACTTCGGCACACCCCTCTCGAGGATCGTAGCTCTGGCCCCACAGGGAGCTCCACCGAAGGTGGATTTCGGCGCACCCCTCTCACGGATCGTGGCCCCCCCACAGGAGGCTCCACCGAGGCTTCACTTCGGCACACCCCTCTCGAGGATCGTGGCCCTGGTCCCACAGGTTGCTCCACCGAAGTTTGATTTCGGCGCACCCCTCTCACGGATCGTGGCCCTGGCCCCACGGGGAGCTCCACCGAGGCTTGAGTTCGGCACACCCCTTTCAAGATCGTGGCCCTAGCCCCACAGGGAGCTCCACCGAGGCTTGATTTCGGCACACCCCTCTCGAGGATCGTAGCTCTGGCCCTACAGGGGGCTCCACCGAGGCTTCACTTCGGCACACCCCTCTCGAGGATCGTGGTCCTGGCCCCACAGGCAGCTCCACCGAAGTTTGATTTCGGCGCACCCCTCCCACGGATCGTGGCCCTGGCCCCACAGGGGGCTCCACCGAGGCTTCACGTCGGCACACCCCTCTCGAGGATCGTGGGCCTGGCCCCATAGGGAGCTCCACCGAAGCTTGGTTTCGGCGCACGTCTCTCACGGATCGTTGCCCTGGCCCCACAGGGAGCTCCACCGAGGCTTCATTTCGGCACACCCCTCTCGAGGATCGTAGCTCTGGCCCCACAGGGAGCTCCACCGAAGGTGGATTTCGTAGGCACCCTTGGGAAGGATTCTGTAGGAATCCTCAGGAATCCTACAGGATTCCGATAGGATTCCTACAGGGTCCTAAAGGATTCCGTAGTTTTTTTGAATATTATAGGATTCCTACAGAATCCTACAGCATTCCATAGGTCTCCTGTTGGAATTCTACGAGACCCTTACATGGTCCTACAGGATTCCCTAGGAACCCTATCGGAATCCTGTTGGAATCCTATAGGATTTTTGCAGGGTCCTACAGGAGTCCATCGGAAACCAATTGGAGTCCTGTAGGAATCCTGGAGGATCCCTACAGGGTCCTACAGGATTCCATCATAATCCTATTGGAATCCTGGAGAAAACCTTTAGGATCCCTGCAGGGTCCTACAGGATTCCATCGGAATGCTATTGTAATCCTATTGGGATCCTATGGGATCCCTACAGGGTCCTAGAGGATTCCATAGGAATCCCATTGGAATCCTATTGGAAATCCCATAGGGTCCCAACAGGGTCCTGCAGGATTCCATAGGAATCCTATTGGAATCCAAGTGAAAATCCTATAGGGTCCCTACAGGGTCCTACAGGATTCCATTGGAATCCCATTGTAATACTACTGGAATCCTGTGGGATCCCTGCAGTGTCCTACAGGATTCCGTAGGAATCCTATTGGAATCTCATTGGAAACCCCTAGGGTCCCTACAGGGTCCTACAGGATCCCATAGGAACCCGATTGGAATCTGATTGCAATCCTGTATGGTCCTTACAGGGTCCTACAGGATGTCGTAGGAATCTCCTATGGGACTCCGATTGGACTCCTATAGGATCCCTACAGGGTCCTACAGGATTCCGTAGGATTCCAATCGGAATCTTATTGGGGTCCTCTGGGATCCCTACAGGGGCCTGCAGGATTCCATAGGATTCCAATAGGAGTCCTATTTGGGGTCCTTGTGGATCCCCATAGGAGCCCTTCAGTCTCCTACAGGATTCCGTAGGAACCCTATAGGAATCTTATATGACCCCTACAGGGACCTACAGGATTCCATAGGGATCCGATTGTAATACTATTGGAATCCTATGGGATCCCTACAGGGTCGGTCCTACAGGATGCCGCAGGATTCCTGTAGGAATCCCATAGGACCCCTACAGGATTCCATAGCAACCCTATAGGAATCCGAGGGGGGCCCTGTAGGATCCCTACAGGATCCTACAGGATTCCATCGGAACCCTATAGCGATCCTATAGGATCCTTACAGGGTCCTGCAGGATTCCATCGGAGTCTTATAGGGAGGAGGAGCTGTCCTCGCTGGCGCGCGGTCGGTT